TTTGGTTTCAGAGATATAAGCCAAAATCTACATTTTACCCCAATTTTTTAATTTTAGCCATGGTGGCCATCATGGGACTCATTTTTTAAAAAAGATACCCAAATGATGATTGTGGCCAAGTTTGGTAAAATTTGGTCCAGTAGTTTCAGAGGAGAAGATTTATGTAAAAGTTAACGAGGATGGATGCCAAGTGATGAGAAAAGCTCACTTGGTCTTTTAGGCCAGGTGAGCTAAAAATTCGTAAGGGTTCCGCGGAACCCAGTGTCTCGCCTACTTTTTGCTGTTAATCACAGGCTCAGCAAAAATGAGGAAAAAAATTAATAAAAATATTCCTCTCTATACTATCTTTTGATTGTAAGTAGCTTCTGTCCAAGTTTGGTAAAAATCCAGGATAGTTTATGAATCTAATAAATGTTTTAAAAACTTAAACTGCAGACTGTATGTAATGTTAACTGGAAGAAAAACTAAGTCCATTTATAAGTAAAATACGGAAAAAATGGAACAAAATTTCCTTCTAGATACTAGCTTTTAATCATAAACAAGCTTCTGTCTAAGTTTGGTACAAATCCAGGATAGTTTAAGAAAGTTGTTCAAATTTTAAAAACTTTAACCACAGAGTGAATGTAATGTTAACTGGCAGAAAAACTAAGTCCATTTATAAGTAAAATACGGAAAAAATGGATTTTTTTTTTTACAAAATTTACTTCTGGATACTAGCTTTTAATCATAAACAAGCTTCTGTCCAAGGTTGGTACAAATCCAGGATAGTTTAAGAAAGTTGTTAAAATTTTAAAATCTTTTAACCACAGAGTGAATGTAATGTTAACTGGCAGAAAAACTAAGTCCATTTATAAGTAAAATACGGAAAAAATGGAATTTTTTTTTACAAAATTTACTTCTGGATACTATCTTATGATCATAAACAAGCTTCTTTCCAAGTTTGGTAGAAATCAAGGATAGTTTAAGAAAGTTATTAAAATTTCAAAAACTTTAACCACAGAGTGAATATTTGTGGACGCCGCCGACGCCGACGGAATGTAGGATCGCTATGTCTCGATTTTTCGACAAAAGTCGAAGGCTCGACAAAAATGAACTGTTTGATTTTTTTTATTGGGAATTGTACTAATTAGTTCTTTATTTTTTGTGGTACATGTAGTCAACATTTTTCTCTCTATAGTCTTGTCATGTATTGACATTAATACTTTTCTTTCACAAATTCCTGATGTTTTTTTCATTCCATCAACATATTCATTGCAGTGAATTTTAATTAAGGATGTTCGCTCCTCCTGTTTCTGATTTTTTGTCAGATTTTCAGAATTATCTAGTGTTATCCATGTAGTGCCATTAAAAATTTTGCCAGCTAACCCCCACTTTTCTTTTCATAATTTTATCCCATATAGTTGAAGAAGCCATTTTCCAAAATCTTATAAAATCCTTGTTATTTTTTCAATAGTTTTTGAAAGAAAAAAGGTTCCAATGTTAAATCTAGGAAAAATCTAGACAGAATCATTTCCCGGCAAATTTTCAATGGCTTATATCTAGAAAACAAGCACACGTCCCTTTCATTTTTTTCTACTTTTTTAATTCATTTATTCATAAACATTTTTTGTTGTACTATCAATTCATAACATTCTTTCAAATAGCTTGTTATTTTGAAACAGAGTAGTGAACATCCTTAAGTTTGAAAGAATCCAAAAGATCTAATAGATCATATTAATTATTATACATGGGACTAGTAATATAAAACATACCAGATGATTCCCAGATGTTTAATGTATTTTAAATAACAGGATGGGTCTGCATTTTTTCTTGTTGAGCATGTCATTTGGAAAATATGGGAAAGAAGTATAAAAAATGTAAGTTTGAATAAAAGGGGGGTTGAGTTTGCAGCTTTTTTAGTGGAGCTTGTTATTTTCTAAGTAGGGTTTAGAACATTGCTTTGAGTGTAATGTGTGAAAAGTTTGTAAAACGTGTATATTTTTCAGATAATATGAATAGGGCAAATATGCACCTGATTTATCAGTGGTGCAAGTCAGTAATAGTGAGGTTGAAATTGTGGCTTATGTATATTCTAAATCACATTATTTGTTGGGGTGAATTTGGTCTTGTTTAAAACGGATTAAACTCCTTTTTATCCATGAAGTTGGTTGGTTCAATTCATTTTCAAATTGTGCTGGTTTGGTTGTAGAGGTGGTGAGTTACAGTGAAGTAAACTAATTTGACGCATCTATGATAGAGGCTTATTTGACACATCTGTGACAGAGGCTAATTTGACACATCTGTGACAGAGGCTAACTTGACAAATCTGTGACATGGGCTAATTTGACACATCTGTGACAGAGGCTAATTTGACACATCTGTGACATGGGCTAATTTGACACATCTGTGACAGGGGCTAATTTGACACATCTGTGACAGGGGCTAATTTGACACATCTGTGACATGGGCTAATTTGACGACTATGTGACATGGGCTAATTTGACAAATCTGTGACAGGTATATTATATTCAAATGAAATGGTTGGCATGAGACAATTAAATCTGTCAGCGCTGTTTTCAATGCAAGAAATTTGTTTGTCGTGTCTATATTTATGGACAAGTTTTCATTTTAGCTTAAAGGTGCACTTAAAAATTTCCTCTCAAAAAAACCTTGATTTTGTGACTTAATAAGGTCTGTAATTTCTGTGCTTTTACACCATTTTTTAAATATATAAATAAATCTCATCCAGAACATTGGCAAATCCAGTGGGTGCTTCAAATTAACTTATTACTGACTTTGAAAGAAAAGGGAGAGGGACACCAAGTACATTATTTTTCAAAATTTTGGTCAATTATTTATACAAACATATTTGACCTGATTTGACCATGACAACATTATTAGTAGAGTTATTCTATTATCAAGTACAATATCTAAAAGTCAAGTAAGCTGCCAGCACTACAAGGGAAACCAGGGACAAGTTGGTCTTGCTTCTTACTGAGTTGTCTTTCTTACTACTCATTCTCTATACCTTGCTGAGCAAGGAAAAAAAATTGCTGAAGGAAACAGATTTTCTTTCAACCTTAAATTTGAATGGAAAAAACAAAATACACGTACCTTTATGGTCACAAACAACCTGCACATTGAGACTGTGGAAGCCCTTTCTGTTCAAATAAACATATTCATCTCCTTTTATATTTGCATGAATAGGAACATGAGTCCCGCCAATACAACCAATTACATTTGGAAATCCAGCTTTATCATAAACACATCTTTTGTTGACATTTTTCTGTTCATCTGTAGGCCATTTGACATATTGTTCTTTCCTTGCTATCAAGGCGTTAGTAACTTCGTTTACCACTTTTGACACAACTGGTTGGCAAAAACCCATGGTTTCACCAACACCTTGAAACGTACTTCCACTGCCATAATAACAAAGGGCAATCATGACTTTCCGTTCAACAGTCAAATTAGACTTTCTATTGGTACTTCCCTTCAAATCTTCTCTCAGCTCATTTGCAAGAAAATCAATGGTTTCCCTACCAAATCTGTACCTTTGTCGTAGCTGTTTCTCACTAAAATCTCCATCTAATGGATAAAAGTCTTGATAATTCCTTTTTTGTCTAACTCGGAGCATATAAAACATCGCGACTGCAGTCATATTGGATAATTTAATTGTATGATTAAAATATAGTACTACATATGTTCTATGTTTGTTGATGGATCAAATTCCACAAGGCAATAAATTTCCTAAGAAACATTTAGGCAAAGTTTGGTAACATTTGGCCCAGTGGTTTCAGTGGAGCATTTTTTAAAAAGTTTACGAGGGACAGATGAATAAGACTGACTCCAAGTGATTTGGCAAAGGTTTACTTTAGAACAGGTGAGCTTAAATTGGTGAACTAATGCAAGCAATTGTCTGATTAATTTGGCAAACAGTTTGGTCAACTCAAAGAAGTGTGAAAGACATGAAAAAAGTGTTTGTTTATTCTGATATGATTTGTTGTTTTCATTTGATTGTAAGTATTGCTCTCCACCAATTCCAGTCGATACAAAATTCTAAACTAACAACCACAGTGCTGTCAGGGTGGTAATACAGTAGATTGACTAATTAGTCCACTATGTTCAACCACCTAGGCCCTCTTGAAAATGTAGCCTAAAATTTCTATACATAATATAAGTCATTTGAAAGGTCAAGGATGTTTTTTTTTAATTGCTATAAAAAAAATCCACACTACATTTTCTTACTAATTTGAATTGAAACATTCAATATTCAATAAAAAATATGTCAATAATTTGCCAAGGGGAGATAATCTAATATCTTTTTGTAGGAAATATTGATTGGTCTGTCTTATTACCATGTTGCCTTACTTGTAGATCTTATTTTTTGCTTAGCATATTTACTATGTATCACATTATGGTTACTCTATCTTTGTTTCAGAAAATATTCATCAAATGGGTAAAAATGATCATTCTGGGATAATACCTCCTATAAGGAGTCAGTTGATAATTTTGCTAATGGTAATTTATATGTAGATCTTATTGTGCTTTACATCTTTGCTATCAACAATTTCTTTCTATCTATAATAGTCCTTTTAGGAAACTATAGTTAATAGAGAGAATCGTTTGATAGTAAAATGTTCAACAAATTATGATCTACAAATTAGGCAACCAGGACAAATTATCAATTGACCCTTTATAGGAGTTATTGCCTTGATAGACTTATTCTACTCATTTTTTGCATTGGAGAAATTGTAAATGCAACAGTGTTCCCCAAATACAAATTTGTCAATTGACATCTTTATGAGTGTTTGCCCTTGAAATATGGCTCTTATTTTTTTTCCCCCAATTTTTCCAGGAAATGCACATTCAAAATCTATAACTCCTGCAAATGATCATTTGACGATTTCCGTCCTTACTTGCAATCATAAGAACAAGTCATTGTTAATGTAAATATATTACAACTTGTATGTAATACTATACACTGAACCTAGATATAGGCTATGTAATATTTGCTACTGTACCTTCAATTTTCGATTTTTCGTTTTCAGTAATTTTCCAAGACTTATTTCTACATCTCCTGGAACGTTTCAACAGAATTGTCTTCTCGACAACTGTAAAAAGATTTCATGACTGTTACAAGATTGCTACAGCTAAGCTTAATATCCCCTCCTGCTGTCCAAAGAATATTCCCATGATAATCAAGGACATAAATTCAATATCTACAAAAATTATCGTTTTGACAGCTCACATTAGAACTGAATCAACTGATGGTAGAGCAATTTAAGTGCTGTTTGTTCTTGTAATAATTCAAGTAAAGGGATTATTGAAATGTTATAAAAGGAGTAGAGCTAGTATCCCCAATAAACAGCCTTGTAAAGGTTAATTTTTAAAACTTCAACTGTACCAGTAAATTTACTGTGTATGTATTTCTAAATATATTACTTTTTGAAAGTATAATAAGAGACATTGTATATCTGCTTCATATATTATAAATGTTTTAGCCTGAAAACGGTATAGATTTCATTTTAGTCCATTTTTCTAAAAGTTCATCATCTTTTTCGTCCTTATTTTATGATTTCATATGTGGCACCACCCCTTGCCCATTGAAGTTTTGGTTGAAAAGTAAAGACTATAGTATATTTAAAATATTGCGTGGGCAAGGAGTGACACCACTGTTATTTTTTCAGAAAACTGATATAAATTTCATCAAATTATGCCAAAAATCAGGCATTCACAAATTCACCTACATTTATGACATCAGAAATGCATCACTTATATATGTTGTAATTGGTTAAAAATCTTTTATAACTGAAACAATTGGTCATTTTAACATACATGACATATGTCTTCATATAATTTTCACAACATCATCGCAGTTAAAATAAAATGCTTCGCTGAGCGCAGCCTGATACGACAGCAGAGGTCGAACCCTGAACATTTGGGGCAAGTTTGGACACAATATTCAACATGTTCAAGCTTGATACGGTCTGAATTTGGATTGCGATCAAATTTTTGACATAATATAGGTTTCTGACACAAAATAAATGTAGTCAAACATCTTAAAACTTTGAAATGGGACATTTAATTTACCTAGTATGGTCTGATATCCAAAATCTTAAAACATGGTTAGATTCAGCATATAAAATACAAGTCTTAAAATAGACTTGCATACACAGTAATCACTAAATTTAATATGTCCACATCAGCATTTTAGTAAGATTTAAAAATAGAATAACAGGTAATCACCTCAAAATAAAACATCATTTATTATTTACAAAACAATTATAAGAGAGGTAACTCTTAATCTTAAATAGGACCCAATATCCAAATTGGTAATACAAGGTTAGAACCCCCAACAAATAAAGACTTTAAATTAATCCCATTGAAATTGGTTAAAAGATTTGTATGTATTTTCAATGGAAGATTTCGTGCTATTGCGCAATACTGTGCTGTTGCACAATACTTAGTAAATCTATTATATATAATAATTTACACACCCTGTTTGGTGTGTATCTCCTGATGGTCCAAGGATACAGTTATCGTCCTTAGATTTTCATTGTCTACAAATATAGTCCCTAGTGTGGACAGAGTATAACTTGCAAATTTTTTTCATACACTTTCCAAATTTATTTCTTTATATTTTATGCATGAAATATTAAGTAAGGGGAAGATGTTACATGTTAAAACTATTTGGGTGCTGAAACTTTATTTTAAGTAGTGATTTGGTCCAGTTAAAAAAGGGAAAAAACTGGAATGTCTGAAGCAGTCAAACTGAATTTTAGACCCCCTTAGCATAGAATTGTCAATATTTTGAGTAATAGCTGGTAGACTTTTCTATAATTTTGATATTATATATCCCAATAGTAGTACACTACACTGTAAAAATCTTTTTGAGATAGAGCAGGTGCGATTTTTTTAATTTGACTTTATTGTCTACAAGAAATGCACTACAAAATAACTGTGTTCTCGGGCCTGCTATATCAGTATTTGTTGCTTTAATATATAAATCAGAAATAATTTGTGTAAAAAAAAGAAGAAAAAACTCCCCTCCCCAAAATTTGTCCCCCCCCCAATTTTTATAAAAATTTAAAATTTTAAAAAATCTTGAAGAAAAAAGTATGGAACCCTCCCCAACAAAATTCAAAAATTTTGAAGAAAAAGAAATATGACCCCTTTTTTGCCCCTTATTCCTGAATGTTTGGGGAAATTACCCCCAAAATCAATCCCAACCTTCCTTTCGTGTTTAAATTTAATAGAATTCCATTCACTTATACTAAAGTTATTGTCCGGAGCAATTACCCCCAAACTCAATCCCAGCCTTCCCTTTGTGGTATGGAACCTTGTGGTATAATTTTAGAGAGATCCATACACATAAACATGATAAACTCAAGTTATCGTCTGGAAACTAAAAAAATGCTGGTTTTTGGCCCCTTTTTTGCCCCTTATTCCTGAATGTTTGGGGAAATGACCCCCAAAATCAATTCCAACCTTCCTTTTGTGTTTAAATTTCATAGAATTCCATTCATACTAAAGTTATTGTCCAGCAACCAAATGTCTTCAGACGACGACAACGACGACGTGATGGCAATATACGAACTCAAATTTTTTGCGGTCGTATAAAAATCAGGTTTTTAAGGCCAAAATTATGAGTTGATGAACCAACTCCTTTGATGTGTTGACCCTACATGTACTTACCAGGGATTCATAATTATTTGTGGGTTACTGATTTGTGTGGATTTATATGTTAACGGTGAACTATAAATTTAACTGTCCAACGAAGTACAAATTATCTAAAGGCTTGTATGCAGACTTAGGCAAAACCATGAAATCAAATATCCAGGAAAATACAATTTTTCCCCAATCCACAGAAATTGATAACAATGAAAATTAATGAATCCACAGTATTATGTAAGTATCAAGATATGGTAATTTGTTTTTTGCTTCTCATTTTGCGGTATGGGTTTTGCTCATTGTTGAAGGCTGTACGGTGGGTGACCTATAGTTGTTAACTTCTATGTCATTTGGTCTCTGGTGGAGATTTGTCTCATTGGCAATTATACCACTCTTTCTTACATTATAATTTTATTGTTTTGGCATTATCATTACTGATAATAATGATAATCTACTACTCACTCTTGATTTAAAAAAAACCTAGCATTTACCATGTTGATGAATGTTTTATTTTGGTGTGTTTGATTTTTTTTTTTTATTTCAGTAACCAAATAAAACACATTTAGACCTCAGAAAAAATTTACAGTATATGATGATTAAAGCACCGCTTCAGAATCTAATGCATTCCTGGTAATATTTTTAAAAGCGTACACCAAAGGGCTGTGATTGGCTAACAACTTCCTTAACAACAGAAAGCCAACCAATGAAGTGAAGTTGTTATCATTTTGAGTATGAATTTACATGTGATGTTAATGGATTATGTTCTTCCCTCTAAAGTTACTTCCCCTTTCCTTATGGATTTGGCTCATTGTTATAATTGTTTATCACTTTGTCATTTGGTTTTAAAATAGTTATCTCAAATGGCCATCATACCACAATACCTTATTTTCAATTTTTGTTTAGTAAGAAGATTATCATTGCCATTTAACAACTTGTGAATTCATTTATATTTGTAGGGTGCCAATTTTAGTAGGTAGATTTCATGGGTAGATATGTACCAGGACTTTCCAACAAAATACAAATTTCCTACAGACATTTATACAGAATTTGTTTAAACCAGGAAATCCAGTATCCATAATTTATATCAACTAAAATAAGGAATCCAGAGTACTACCTTCAGCTTGATTAGGACCTTCTTTTGAAGCTATTTTACTGTCTTCAGTTCCTGTTAGTTCATTATTAGATGTAGCAATAGTGTTGTCATTACAACTGAGATTGTCTTCTTTTGTATCTTCTTTTCTACAAAATGTAGGTTGAATTTCTTCTATATCAACAATGTCTGAATCTATCAATGATTTATCCTCCCTCTTATGTTGAACCTCTTCTGAATCAACAATGTCAGAATCCATCAAGGATGTATCCTCTCTTTTGTGTTGAACCTCTTCTGAATCAACAATGTCTGAATCCATCAATGATCTATCCGCTCTTTTATGTTGAACCTCTTCTGAATCAACAATGTCTGAATCCATCAAGGATGTATCCTCTCTTTTATGTTGAACCTCTTCTGTATCAATAATGTCTGAATCTATCAACGACCTATCCTCTCTTTTATGTTGAACCTCTTCTGTACCAATAATGTCTGAATCTATCAACGATCTATCCTCTCTTTTATGTCGAACCTTTTCTGAATCAATAATGTCTGAATCTATCAATGATCTATCCACTCTTTTATGTTGAACCTCTTCTGAATCAACAATGTCTGAATCTATCAACGATTTATCTTCTGCTCTAAGTTGAACATCTTCTGAATCAACAATGTCTGAATCCATCAATGATCTATCCTCTGTTTTATTTTGAACCTCTTCTGCATAAAAATTGTTTGAATCTGTCAACGATTTATCCTCTCTTCCAGGTTGAACCTCTTTTCTATCAACAACATCTGCATCTAACAGAGATCTATCTTTGCCTCTATCAAAAACATCTGAATCTACCAGTGAACTATCCTCTTCTCTAACAACAACATCAGAAACTTTCAGTGATCTATCCTTCACTCTTCTATGTTGAATTTCTTCTGAATCAACATCTGAATCTGTCAACATTTTATCCTCTCTTTTATGTTTAATCACGTCCATATCAATGTCTGAATTTATATGCAATGTATCCTCTCTTCTATCAAAAACATCTGAAATGTTCAGAGATATATCCTCCCTTCTATGTTGGAGCTCTTCTGAATCAACAACATCTGAATCTATCAATGATGTATCCTCTTTTCTATGATGAATCTCTTCTGAATCAACAACATCTGAAGCTATCAATGATGTATCCTCTACCATAGTTTGAAGCTCTTCTGAATCAACATCTGAATTTATTAGGGATCTATTCTCTTTTCTATGTTGAATCTCTCCTATATGAACAATGTTTGAATCTATAAGTGATGTATCTAGATCATCAGTTTCATTTTCATTGACCGCATCACAAACACTTTCCATTTCTAAAATTAATTGTGTAGAACATGAACAAAAGATATATATTTGTACAGTAAAATGAATATGGAAATGTTTTACCTTTCTACTTGAAAATAGATCTATTAAAATTTTGAGCCAGAAATTGTGACCCAAAGAGCAACCTTGGACAAGAGCCGGATCTGCTTACCTTTCTTCAGCATAGAAGATCAACCCAGTTTTTAAAAGTGGGTTTCATGTTGCTCCGTCTTTACTTTTCTATGCAGTTTTTGTAGACCACTTATCTACGTCATTTTTAGTTTTTTGCCATGGTATGGTTTTTCTTAGACTTATGAACTTTGATTGTCCCATTGGCAACTTTTGCCTCCTTTCTGCAAATATAACCCTTTCAGGAACTGAAGATACACAACACTTTTTCTAAGTAAACCATGTTAGCTAGTTGAACACCAATTTTGGGGTCAAACAATATCAATACAATACAATAACTATGTATTTGCAGACTATGCAGACACAATACTAATACAAATGTACTATGTACACCAATATAACAGAATTGTACTGACTTTGCCAGCATACAGTACTACTTCTATGTATACTAGGTTGACTGAAAACTGACTTCACAGACAAACAATACTATTACAAGTGTACTACAAGTTTGTTGATCACTGACTGTAAAAAACTAAACAAATCAAAATTACCCGGGAACATCCTTTGCAGAAACAATACTATAATAAATGTACTATCAGGCCGTTAGTTTTCTCGTTTGAATTGTTTTACATTGTTCATTTTGGGGCCTTTTATATCTTTCTATGAGGTATGCGTTTTGCTTTTTGTTGAAGGTTGTAATGTGACCTATAGTTGTTAATTTCTATGTCATTTGGTCTCTGGTGGAGAGTTGTCTTATGGCAATCATACCACATCTTCTTATTTTCATATTCCTATCTTGAGCTCTGTCAGATACGTATGGCTTGACATAACAGAAGCTAAGAAGTATTTTAGTGTATCATCACTTATAAAATTCTGACATTACCAATTTCTGGATCTTCATTTTGCGACTTCTTCCTGGTTAATTCACACCACTTTGCATATTGATTGTATTTACTGCCTTTCCCTTTTTCCTGGAATTAGAATAAAGAACCTTTGGTGAGCCTCGCATACCCATATAATTCAGAACCTTTAGTGAGCATCACATACCCCTATAATTCATCTAATTACTACAGGATATCTTTTTGAACACTCCCTCTCTGAAAATGTTTCCCCATTGCAAATTTTTATGATGATCCAACACATCTCAAGGTTTTAATGAGTGGTTACATACCTTCTCCTAAATATGAAGAGGATCTGATAAAAAAATGATGGCTCTATCCAGGGGACAAGAATTAAAACATGACTTTTTTACAAGTTCTCTACCTGAATAATTGTTTCCTAATTTCAGCAGTGTTCTCCATTTTTCACTACGGTAAGGTGGGTGTTTTGAAAAAATCACTTGCAACCGGGTGTTTTTTTTTTTGTCTTAACAGTTTTTTTACTGTTGGAGGGGGTCACAAAAAGAAGGATTAGTATGGTATTCACATTCAATAAAATTGATTTGTTCTTCTGCTATCACTGCTAGCCATTTATTTGACAAATTAGTTTTGCGGATCTCAGATAGCAGAAATGGCTTTGGTAGGACTCCCTCCTCCTGCATATGCATAGCTTATCGATCCAAGTTTCTGTCCTGTTCCTCGCTTTAGTGCTGTATTTTTGGAACACAGAGCAGTAATATCCTCCTTCTGTGATGATTAACCATTTAAAGTCCTGTTCATATTTATCAAATGAGGGGTAACCTCTCAATGTAATGACTATCTCTTTTATGAGGGGTACATTTAACAAGATACAAATGAGCACATATTTATTTTATTTACAGAAAATTTTCCCAAAGAACTATACATCTATTTGGAATTATATGGTCAAAACATGTCCAAGAATTTTGTAATATTCCTGGACTTATATCTTCTTTATCATTAAAAATAATGGGACCTTCTTTTAGAAAAGTTGGTCCGAATATAACCATTTTCCCCCCTTTTAAGTTAAAAAATCTAAGTTTTTCTCTTTTCTTTTTTTCAACAGAATTAACATAACCTCTTGCCAGAGAGACAGTCCCTCATTTCAGGGATATCCCTCATTTGGGGGATTGTTCCCAACCTGTTTATCTTCGCGATCACTTGTGTGCCTTTTCCGTTGATTTGATACTTTTTTTTTCTTCATTTCAACAATTTCAATACAACTATCCGTTTTAATTGACTTATTTGGCCTAGAATTTTCCTTATCACCATTGTCATCTGCCTTTCTCTTCCCCCGATTAATAACAGAAAACATTGAAATTTGACGATCCGCTATTTTTGTCAATGAAAACAATCAGCGAAGCGCGATTAGTATTTAAATTTTTGCGGTGCGGAACCAAAAAAAATTCGGAATTTGAAAAAAAAAGCCGACCACCTACTAAAATGGAAAGGTGGTAGGCTTTGAAAAGAAGGTGGTCGGCACACCCGGCTTAAATGCCGAATGGAAAACACTATTTCAGATTATTTTAAATATCAAATATGGCTTTTATGAGTGGAAACCTTAAAGGGACATTAGCTACGAGATATGTTAACAAAACAAATATGATTTAGTTTGGTTCAATCATTAATAAAAGTGAAATAATGAAATATTAATTCACTTTATCAGCCAATTTGGGTCAATTTTGTCAAAATAAGCAAAGAAACATTGCTGATGAATTATTCACTTGCAAGTGAATAATTCGACCTCATTGAATCCATATTCATGTGACCTTCAATTTAACCCATTAGATAGAGATTGGTTTCGCATGTATTTGTCATGTTCAGCCATTAAAAGGAAAAGAATGTCAACATTGAAAGTGAAACGAAGGTGAACCATTTCGTTGACTGTTTTGATCCACAAAAAAATCATTCTTAAACAGGTTAAAAAGATAATTAACTTATTTTTCAAACCTATGACATGAAATCAAACAGATATATAGAAAAATCCAATTGCACGAGGTCGCTATCTATTTATATTTATGTTTATAATTTTATCGGGTTATTGACCGTCGGCAGTCTTTGGAGGTCATCTCGATAGTTAATTAGATCGCTTCTAGACTAAAATACACACAAAATTCTGATATATATTATTGAGTACATACATTGTTAACTGTTTAGTTCAGACTAATTGTAATTTGGATATGTGTTTTAGTATGTTGTAAATCAAATATGAGAATTTGAGTCAAATTGGTGAGCATGATTTTGACAGCTAATGCACCTTTAATTAGAATTTGAAAATGATCGAATAACAAGAGGCTCTCAAGAGCCTGAATCGCTCACCTGTATTTCAGAGGAGAAGATTTTTAAATGTTAGCAAACTTGATGAACAAATTGTGTAAAGTTGTCTTCTTAAGGGGTCAATTGACAATTTTGGTCTTATTAACTTTTTTGTAGATCTTACTTTGCTGAACATTATTGCTGCTTACAGTTTATATATATCTATAATAATATTCAAAATAATAACAAAAAACTGCAAAATTTTGTTAAAACTACCAATTTGGTGGCAGCAACCCAACAATGGGTTGTTCGATTCATCTGATAATTTCAGGGCTGATAGATCTTTACCAATTAAACAATTTTACCCCATGTCACATTTGCTCTAAAAGATTTAGTTTTTGAGATATAAGCCAATAAAATGCTCCGCAGGGCGCAGCTTGATACGACCGCAGAGGTCGAACCCTGAACAGTTGGGGCAAGTATGGACACAACATTCAAGCTTGATACAGCTTTGCATTTGGATTGTGATTAAATATTTGACACAGCATAGGTTTCTGACACAGAATGAATGTGGTCTAAGAACTTAAAAATTTTAAATTGGACATTCACCTATTATGGTCCAATATCCAAAATCTAAATACATGGTTAGATTCAGCATATCAAAGAACCCCAAGAATTCAATTTTTGATGAAATCAAACAAAGTTTAATTTTGGACCCTTTTGACCTCAATGTGGACAAAGTTGATAACGGGGCCCAAAAATCAAAAATCTAAATACATGGTTAGATTCAGCATATCAAAGGACCCCAAGAATTCAATTTTTGATGAAATCAAACAAAGTTTAATTTTGGACCCCGATTTGGACCAACTTGAAAACTGGGCCCATAATCAAAAATCTAAATACATGTTTAGATTCAGCATATCAAAGAACCCTAAGAATTCAATTTTTGTTAAAATCAAACTAAGTTTAATTTTGGACCCTTTGGACCTTAATGTAGACCAATTTGAAAACGGAACCAAAAATTAAGAATCTTAATACACGGTTCGATTCGGCATATCAAAGAACCCCAATAATTCATTTTTTGATGAAATCAAACAAAGTTTAATTTTGGACCCTTTGGGCCTCAATGTGGACCAATTTAAAAAGGGGCCCAAAATCCAAAAACTAAATACACGGTTAGATTCAGCATATTAAAGAACCCCAAGAATTTAAGAATAAAACCCCATTGAAATTGGTCAAGAAATAAGCAATTTATACGAAGTATCTTCTTTTGCACAATACTGTGCAATTAAATATTTCTTGCTATTGCGCAATACTGTGCTATTGACAATTTCTTGCTATTGCGCAATATTGTGCTATTGGATATTTCTTGCTATTGTGCAATACTGTGCAATTGAGGATTTCTTGCTATTGCGCAATACTGTGCAATTGAAGATTTCTTGCTATTGTGCAATACTGTGCAATTGAAAATTTCTTGCTATTGCACAATACTTATTATATACCGGTAATAATTTACACATCCTGTTTGGTGTGTATCTCCTACCATATCATTATTATTTGCTTTTAAATATAAATCAGAAATAACCAACTTAAAATGGAAAATTTTAAAAGAAAAAAAAAAGGAAAAAAAGAAAAAAAAAAAAAAAAAAATCCCCCCCCCCCCCAAATTTTTTGAACCCCCTTATGATTCATCACCCCCAAACTCAATCCCAGCCTTCCCTTTGTGGTATGGTACCTTGCAGTACAATTTCAGAGAGATCCATACACTTGAACACAAGTTATTGTCTGGAAACTAGAAAAATGCTTATTTTTGGCCCCTTTTTGGCCCCCAATTCCTAAACGTTTCGGGCAATTACCCCCAAACTCAATTCCAGCTTTTCCTTTGTGATATGTAACCTTGTAGTACAATTTCAGAAATATCCAAACACTTACACACAAGTTATTGTCATGAAACTAGAAAAATGCTTGTTTTTTGCCCCTTTTTTGGCCCCTAATTCCTAAAATTTTGAGGCAATTACCCCCAAAATCAATTACAGCCTTCCCTTTGTGATATGGAACCTTGTGGTACAATGTCAGAGAGATCCATACACTTACACACAAGTTATTGTCTGAAAGTTACAAAAATGCTTATTTTTGGCCCCTTTTTGGCCCCTAATTCCTTAACTGTTGGTACCATAACCCCCAAAATCAATCCCAACCTTCCTTTTGTGGTATTGAACCTTATGGTGAAATTTCATGGAGATCCATTCACTTAAACTAAAGTTAGAGTGCGAAAACCAATGTGTCTTCGGACGACGCCGGACGACGACGACGACGACGACGACGACGACGACGACGACGACGACGCCAACGTCATACCAATATACGACCAAAAAATTTTTAATTTTTGCGGTCGTATAAAAACTGCATTTGACCCTTATGTTCTATTTTTAGCCATGGCGGCCATGTTTGTCGATGGATAAAAACTTTGGATACAATTTATAAACAAGATACTCTAAGGAACATTAAGTTAAAGTTTGAAGGTAATTAATTGGCCCAGTAGTTTCAGAGGAGAAGATTTTTAAATGTTAGCAAACTTGATGAACAAATTGTGTAAAATTGTTTTTAAAGGGCAATAACTCCTTAAGGGGTCAATTGACAATTATGGTCATATTAACTTTTTTGTAGATCTTACTTTGCTGAACATTATTGCTGCTTACAGTTTATATATATCAATAATAATATTCAAAATAATAAAAACTGCAAAATGTTGTTATAACTACAAATTCGGTGGCAGCAACCCAACAATGGGTTGTTCGATTCGTCTGAAAATTTCAGAGCTGATAGATCTTGACCAATTGAACAATTTTACCCTATGTCATATTTGCTCTAAAAGCTTTAGTTTTTGAGATATAAGCCAAAAACTGCATTTGACCCCTACTTTCTATTTTTAGCCATGGCGGCCATGTTTGTCGATGGATCAAAACTTCGGATACAATTTATAAACAATTTATAAACTAGATACCCTAAGGAACATTTAGTTAAAGTTTGAAGGTATTTGGCCCAGTAGTTTCAGAGGAGAAGATTTTTGAAATAGTTTATGACGACAGACAACGACAGACGACAACAGATGACGACGACGACAACAGACGACGGACGCCAAGTGATGGCATAAGCTCACATGGGGCCCTTTGGGCCCCGGTGAGCTAAAAACTAAAGGTTCTGGCAAGGTGACAACAAACAGATGAAGAATGAACAGATACATGGACGAGACTGATGGACGAGACAAAAACATTGTACCTATTACTTCAAACAACTATGTTGCAGGGGTATGATAACATTATCATCTGAAAGTGAGTTTCTAATAAAAAAACAAAAAAAATATTGCACCAGCCAAACATTTCTCTAAGATTCTTTTATCCCCATGGCAACCACTGAGAAAGCAAGGAATTTTGTCTAAGCATAATTTCTGAGATAAGTAAATATTTTTTGTAAAGTCACCAAACTCTTTGTGTTTTCACTTAACAATTTTAAATTTAAAGACTAACAGATTATTCTTATAGCTCAATATTAAATCTATAGTCTCGAATGGATCAGTCTCAAGAAACTTCTGGTGTAATGAAATTTCTGAAAGACTTCATTGTCGATCTATTTACGACTAGTTGTTACATATATTCAGAGATATAACACATATGTTTTTCTGTAACTTTAAATGTTTATACAGTACCTTTTTTTGAACCTTCGTATTAGAAGATAAAATATTAGGTAATCTTCTTCCGTGTTGTAATTTCTTATCTTGGTAGTTTTTTTCACTGTTTTTTTGTAAACCTGTGGAGAAAAATATAAACTGAAAATACATCATTAAGAAAGTGCAAGCCTATCATATAAATAATAGATATGCAAATCTTTACCATACATTGACCTTTATAGAATAAATCTTAACAATTTTCATTTTAAAGATATGACATCTATTCAATTTCAGACTAAATTCAATCTATTTATGAGAGTTAATACAGATTTCTCTTATTTTTTATTTTAAAAACTATTATTAATTAAGTAAAGTTATTATCTGAGGATTTTGTTAAATTAAAAGGGGTTGTTAGCGAAAAGTTTTATTAAGCATAAAAAATGGAGTATAAAACATACAAAATTACGTAGGACATAGAGACTACATACCTTGCTTATTACTACTGCTTTCTGTACCTTCTTTATCAGTTGTGGAAACTGGTACTAATGGGACTGATACAAAATTGTTCTGCTGATTTTCTTTCAGATTTACATCTTTTTCTAGCGGTCTAAAAGAAAATTATAAATAGTTATTGACAAAAAAATGCTATATACTGCAGTTAATGAGCTCTTGAAATAGAAATCATATAAACCCAAAATAATTTATACAGTACTATAACGGAAAAAAAACCAATCTGCATGAAAGGAGTAGGAACGGTAAAGGTTCTTATTGGCCAATTTAAAGTCTATCATTTCATGATAATAGTGTTATGAGCCAATGCAAAAACATGTGAGAAAATATAGAAACATGATTGTTTTTCATTTATTGTTGTAATGTAAACCAGGCCATTAGTTCTCTCTCTTAAATTGTTTCCCATGTTGTCATTCCAGAGCAATTTATACCTAACTATGTGTTTTACTCATTGTTGAAGTCCAAAAGGTGACCCTTAATTGTTCACATCTTTGTAATAAATCCAAAGTAATATGCATACATGTATCTTTTGAAATTGGCTATATAAAAACAATTATTTTTAATATATAATTGTAGCTGTTCACACAAAATTCATTATGTGGATCAATTAAAAGCCTTTGTCAATAACACATTTAAGATTTTTTTTCTTCAAAAATTTAGTTAATCTACAGAGCTATTGTATGCAGAATAAAATGAATAAATCAACTTACTTTAAACACAGTTTAATCTGTATCTTCCCATCTTTCAACTCATAGACAGGCGTAATAACTAATTGAGTTAGACCTGGTGTTGAAACTGAGGCAGCACCTTAAATCAAATAGAAAAAAATAAAACGCTGATTTGTCTTTATTAAAGACAAAGACAGCATGTCAATAAAAGAAATGTATATATCAAATATAGAGCTCAACTAACTCAAAAATAAAATGGAGAAAAAATACTGCAAAAAAATAACTAGAGACTCTCAAGAGCCTGTGTCGCTCACCTGACTCTACTTTGGTTTTAGAAATCATGTAAAGATAGATAAAAATCATAACAGATACCCAAATAATGATTGAGGCCAAATTTGGTTTAATATTGGTCCCGTTATTTAATAAAATATCCTGGTGGCCATCTTGAACAGTAAATTGGCAACAAAGTAGCAACACTTGGTCAGCACCTCATAAGGAACATTCATGCCATGTTTGGTTACACTCCATTCAGTGGTACTCTAAAAGAAGACATTTGTATGTATTTCCCATATGGTCCTATGTTAAACTAAGTCCCCCCGCTGGCGGCCATCTTGGATGATGGATTGACTGCAAAGTAACAACACTTGGTCAGCACCTCATAAGGAACATTCATGCCATGTTTTGTTTCATTCCATTCAGTGGTTCTCTAAAAGACGACATTTGTATGTATTTCCCATAGGGTCCTATGTTAAACTAAGTCCCCCGCTGTCGGCCATCTTGGATGATGGACTGACTGCAAAGTAACAACACTTGGTCAGCACCTCATAAGGAACATTCATTCCATGTTTGGTTTCATTCCATTCCATGGTTCTCTAAAAGAAGACACTTGTATGTATTTCCCATAAGGTCCTATGTTAAACTAAGTCCCCTGACAGCCATCTTGGATGATGGATCTACTGCAAAGAAACAACACTTGGTCAGCACATCATAAGGAACATTCATTCCATGTTTGGTTTCATTCCATTCAGTGGTTCTCTAAAAGAAGACATTTGTATGTATTTCCCATAAGGTCCTATGTTAAACTAAGTCCCCAGCTGACGGCCATCTTGGATGATGGATCTGCTGCAAAGAAACAACACTGGGTCAACACATCATAAGGAACATTCATGCCATGTTTTGTTTCATTCCATTCAGTGGTTCTCTAAAAGAAGACATCTGTATGTATTTACCATAGGGTCCTATGTTAAACTAAGTCCCCTGCAGGCGGCCATCTTGGATGATGGACCTACTGCAAAGTAACAACAATAGGTCAGCACCTAATAAGGAACATTCATGCCATGTTTGGTTTCATTCCATTCAGTGGTTCTCTAAAAGAAGACATTTGTATGTATTTCCCATAGGGTCCTATGTTAAACTAAGTCCCCGCTGTCGGCCATCTTGGATGATGGACCAACTGCAAAGTAACAACACTTGGTCAGCACCTCATAAGGAACATTCATTCCATGTTTTGTTTCATTCCATTCAGTGGTTCTCTATAAGAAGACATTATAAACATCCAAACAAACATAGCAAGCAAGTTGATCAAAGATTTGCTTTGCATGCTTTTATAGAAGAGCTGTTATTTCTAGTTCTTCAGACTTCTCTTATGTTTAAAGAGAGGATCAAGTGAGTAAAATTTTATTTTTCAGCAGCAAAATAATTGATGTGGACATAAGCACTAAGCAACTATAAGTTACCATATACTTCAACAATAAGCAAAACCCATACAAGAAAGTCAACTAAAAAAGACCCTAACATGACAAAATATGAAACAATTTGAACAAAAAAACCAACAGCCTGAATTATGACAAAACAATTAAGGAAAATCAAATACCTTTCCTAAGTCAGGAATCTGATATTCAGTAGTTGTCATTTGTTGATGTGGTTCATAAGTGTTTCTCGTTTCTCGTTTTTTATATAGATTAGACCATTGGTTTTCACGTTTGAATGGTTTTACACTAGTAAATTTTTGGGGCCCTTTATCGCTTGCTGTTCGGTGTGAGCCAAGGCTCCGTGTTGAAGACCGTACTTTGACCTATAATGGTTTACTTTTACAAATTGTGACTTGGATGGAGAGTTGTCTCATTGGCACTCATACCACATCTTCTTATATCTATATAACAGACAGTAACCAACAACAACCACTGAATTTGAGGCTCCTGACTTGGGACAGACACATTTCCTCAACACATTGATTTGAACATAAAAACAAAAGGCATAATGCATTGTTCTAAGAGTACTCAAGTTACTGAAAGCTAGTGTAAAGCAAATTACAAATTATGTTCTCTTAGACTAAAGTTCTTGAAAATTCTTGACTTATAATATGTCATGGATGCATTTTTCTTGAGAACTTTTTAAGAACCGTTCATCAATTCTAAATATTATTGAATATTCAAATAAAATGCTCCGCTGGGGCGCAGCTTGATACGACCGCAGAGGTCGAACCCTGAACAGTTGGGGCAAGTATGGACACAACATTCAAGCTTGATACAGCACTGAATTTGGATTATAATTAAATATTTGACACAGCATAGGTTTCTGACACAAAATGAATGTGGTCTAAGAACTTAAAATATTTTAATTAACCTATTCAAACCATATCATTATTATTTGCTTTTATATATAAATCAGAAATAACCAATTTAAAATGGAAAATTTTAAAGAAAAAAAAGGAAAAAAAAATCCCCCCCCCCCCCAAATTTTTTTAATCCCCTTATGATTCATCACCCCCAAACTCAATCCCAGCCTTCCCTTTGTGATATGGTACCTTGCAGTACAATTTCAGAGAGATCCATACACTTGAACACAAGTTATTGTCTGGTAACTAGAATAAACAGCTGCGCCATGAGCGCATGATACGCCCGTCGTCTTGTGTGTGAATTTTTATGCAATAAGCATAAATAGTTTCTGACATACGGCGTGACATGCGAAAACCCCCTATTTTTTTTTTACAAAAAACTCAATATCTATAAAATAAAATTTTGAATCAAAACCCCAAAAGTATACAGATCTTTAGATTTATATAACTAAGAAGTGTGTAAAATTTTAAGCAATAATCATAAATCGTTTTTGAGATACGGCGCGACATGTGAAAACACCCCTTTTAAAAAAAAAAATCAATATCTCAAAAATAAAATTTTGAATCAAAACCAAAAAGTATACAGATCTTTAGATTAATATAACTAAGAAGTGTGTAAAATTTTAAGCAATAATCATAAATCATTTTTGAGATATGGCGCGACATGTGAAAAACCCCTCCCCCTTTTTTTACAAAATACTCAATAACTCAAAAATAAAATTTTGAATCAAAACCAAAAAGTATACAGATCTTAAGGTTAATATAACTAAGAAGTGTGTAAAGTTTTAAGCAATTATCATAAACTGTTTTTGAGATACGGCGCGACATGTGAAAAACCCCTCCCCCTTTTTAACAAAATACTCAATAACTCAAAAATAAAATTTTGAATCATCACCAAAAAGTATACAGATCTTAAGATTAATATAACTAAGAAGTGTGTAAAGTTTTAAGCAATAATCATAAATTGTTTTTGAGATACAGCGCGACATGTGAAAAAAAACACACACCTGTTTTAGTTACTAAGTCCCGTAACTCAAAAAGTTTTAATCTTATTTTCACCAAAAAGTATACAAATCGTTTGACCATCATAAGAAACAACTATGTTAAGTTTCATGAAATTTGGATAAGTCATTCTCAAGTTACGGTGCGACATGTTTACGCCGGACAGACAGACAGACAGACAGAGGGACAGACGGACAGACAGACGGACAGACGGACAGACGGATGCCGGACATTTGTATAACATAATACGTCCCGTCAAAAATTTGACAGGCGTACAAAAATGCTTGTTTTTTGGCCCCTTTTTGGCCCCAAATTCCTTAACGCTTAGGGCAATTAACCCCAAACTCAAACCCAGCTTTCCCTTTGTGATATGGAACCTTGTAGTTCAATTACATAAAGATCCATACACTTACAAATTATTGTCCTGAAACTAGAAAAATGCTTGTTTTTTTGCAACTTTATGGCTCCCAATTCCTAAAATTTGAGGCAATTACCCCCAAAATCAATCTCAGCCTTCCCTTTGTGGTATGGTACCTTGCAGTACAACTTCAGAGAGATCCATACACTTGAACACAAGTTATTTTCTGGAAACTAGAAAAATGCTTATATTTGTCCCTTTTTGGCCCCTTATTCCTAAACATTTTGGGCAATTACCCCCAAACTCAATCCCAGCTTTCCCTTTGTGATATGGAACCTTGTAGTACAATTTCATAAAGATCCATACACTTACACACAAGTTATTGTCATGAAACTAGAAAAATGCTTGTTTTTTGCCCCTTTTTGGCCCCTAATTCCAAAAATTTGGAGGCAATTACCCCCAAAATCAATCCCAGCATTCCCTTTGTGATATGGAACCTTGTGGTACAATGTCAGAGAGATCCATACACTTACACACAAGTTATTGTCATGAAACTAGAAAAATGCTTTTTTTTGCCCCTTTTTGGCCCCTAATTCCTAAAACTTCGACGCAATTACCCCCAAAATCAATCCTAGCATTCCCTTTGTGATATGGAACCTTGTGGTACAATGTCAGAGAGATCCATACACTTACACACAAGTTATTTTCATGAAACTAGAAAAATGCTTGTTTTTTGCCCCTTTTTGGCCCCTAATTCGTAAAATTTGGAGGCAATTACCCCCAAAATCAATCCCAGCATTCCCTTTGTGATATTGAACCTTGTGGTACAATGTCAGAGAGATCCATACACTAACACACAAGTTATGTCTGGAAGTTACAAAAATGCTTATTTTTGGCCCCTTTTTGGCCCCTAATTCCTTAACTGTTGGTACCATAACCCCCAAAATCAATCCCAACCTTCCTTTTGTAGTATTGAACCTTATGGTAAAATTTCATAGAGATCAATTCACTTAAACTAAAGTTAGAGGGCGAAAACTAATGTGTCTCCGGACGATGACGACGACGACGATGACGACGCCAACGTCATACCAATATACGATGCGGTCGTATAAAAAGGGTTCTTTACAATTTTTGAATGAAACTATTTCATGAATGCTTATGACAATCCAAAATAAGTTTATCATATAAAACAACCAAGCATAGTAATTGAAATCATTTTCTATCATCTGTGATGCTGTTCATGAATTTGCAAGTGACAAATAATGTTCTATTTATTCAAGCTGAATCTTCATACCTGGTGACAAGTTTGTATTTAAAGGTTCTGGCATCTGTTGAACTGGTTTATCTGTCTCCATTGAAGGTTTCTCTTTTACTTGAACAACTGAAAATAGAAACAAAGTAATATATTAGCTGTATAAACAAAATAAGCCAAATCAACTTAATTTCTAGTTCTTCAGACTTCTATTATGTTTAAAGAGAGGAGTAAGTGAATAAAATTTAATTTTTTCAGAGGCAATATAACTGAAGCGGACATAAGCACTAAGCAAGTATAAGTTACTATAGACTTCAACAATAAGCAAAACCCATACAAGAAAGTCAACTAAAAAAGACCCTAACATGACAAAATATGAAACAATTTGAACAAAAAAACCAACAGCCTGATTTATGACAAAACAATTAAAGAAAATCAAATACATGTATACTGTAAATTCGGAAATTATTGCGAGGTTTTATTATTGCGAAAAATGCAACAGGGTTGTAATCGCAATAATTTAAACTCGCATTTTGTATTAATGAAGAGGGATTTTTCTCAATTTTGCAAAAATAATAATCGCATTTTGGTCTAAAATGACAAAATCGCTATAATAAATGCACACAAGAATATCTGAATTTACAGTAACAGACAGCAACCAACAACAACCACTGAATTAGAGGCTCCTGACTTGGGACAGACACATTTCCTCAACACATTGATTTGAACATAAAATCAAAAGGCATAATGCATTGTTCTAAGAGTACTCAAGTTACTGAAAGCTAGTGTAAAGCAAATTACAAATTATATTCTCTTAGACTAAAGTTCTTGAAAATTCTTGACTTAAAATATGTTGTGGACCCATTTTTCTTGAGAACTTTTTAAGAACCGTTCATCAATTCTAAATATCATTGAATATTTAAATAAAATGCTCCGCAGGGCGCAGCTTGATACGACCGCAGAGGTCGAACCCTGAACAGTTGGGGCTAGTATGGACACAACATTCAAGCTTGATACAGCTCTGAATTTGGATTGTGATTAAATATTTGACACAGCATAGGTTACTGACACAGAATGAATGTGGTCTAAGAACTTAAAAATTTTAAATTGGACATTCACCTATTATGGTCCAATATCCAAAATCTAAATACATGGTTAGATTCAGCATATCAATTGCAAAGAACCCCAAGAATTCAATTTTTGATGAAATCAAACAAAGTTTAATTTTGGACTCTTTTGACCTCAATGTGGACAAAGTTGATAGCGGGGCCCAAAAATCAAAAATCTAAATACATGGTTAGATTCAGCATATAAAGAACCCCATATATTCAATTTTTGTTGAAATCAAACAAAGTTAAATTTTGGACCCCGATTTGGACCAACTTGAAAACTGGGCCCATAATCAAAAATCTAAATACATGTTTAGATTCGGCATATCAAAGAACCCAAAGAATTCAATTTTTGTTAAAATCAAACTAAGTTTAATTTTGGACCCTTTGGACCTTAATGTATACCAATTTGAAAACGGAACCAAAAATTAAGAATCTAAATACACAGTTAGATTTGGCATATCAAAGAACCCCAATAATTCAATTTTAGATGAAATCAAACAAAGTTTAATTTGGACCCTTTGGACCTCAATGTGGACCAATTTAAAAACGGGGCCCAAAATCCAAAAACTTAATACACGGTTAGATTCAGCATATTAAAGAACCCCAAGAATTCAACAATAAAACCCCATTGAAATTGGTCAAGAAATAAGCAATTTATACGAAGTATCTTCTTTTGCACAATACTGTGCAATTGAAAATTTCTTGCTATTGCACAATACTTATTATATAATAATTTACACATCCTGTTTGGTGTGTATCTCCTACCATATCAGTATTATTTGCTTTTAAATATAAATCAGAAATAACCAACTTAAAATGGAAAATTTTACAAGAAAGAAAAAAGGAAAAAAAAAAAAATCCCCCCCCCCTCCAAATTTTTTGAACCCCCTTATGATTCATCACCCCTTGACTCAATCCCAGCCTTCCCTTTGTGGTATGGTACCTTGCAGTACAATTTCAGAGAGATCCATACACTTGAACACAAGTTATTGTCTGGAAACTAGAAAAATATGTTTTTTGGCCCCTTTTTGGCCCCAAATTCCTAAACGTTTAGGGCAATTACCCCCAAACTCAAACCCAGCTTTTCCTTTGTGATATGGAACCTTGTAGTACAATTTCATAAAGATCCATACATTTACACAGAAGTTATTGTCCTGAAACTAGAAAAATGCTTGTTTTTTGCCCCTTTTTGGCCCCTAATTCCTAAAATATTGAGGCAATTACCCCATTATCAATCCCAGCCTTCCCTTTGTGGTATGGTACCTTGCAGTACAATTTCAGAGAGATCCATACACTTGAACATAAGTTATTGACTGGAAACTAGAAAAATTTGTAAGGGTTCCGCGGAACCCAGTGTCTGGCCTACTTTTGCTGTTAATCGCAGGCTCAACAAAAATGAGGAAAAAAATTAATAAAAATATTCCTTTCTATACCATCGTTTGATTGAAAGTAGCTTCTGTCCAAGTTTGGTAAATCCAGGATAGTTTATGAATCTAATAAATGTTTTAAAAACTTAAACTGCAGACTGTATGTAATGTTAACTGGAAGAAAAACTAAGTCCATTTATAAGTAAAATACGGAAAAAATTGAACAAAATTTTAACAAAATTTCCTTCTAGATACTAGCTTTTAATCATAAACAAGCTTCTGTCCAAGTTTGGTACAAATCCAGGATAGTTATGAAAGTTGCTAAAATTTTAAAAACTTTAACCACAGAGTGAATGTAATGTTTCTTGGCAGAAAAACTAAGTCCATTTATAAGTAAAATACAGAAAAAATGGATTTTTTTTTTTACAAAATTTACTTTTGAATATTATCTTATGATCATAAACAAGCTTCTGTCCAAGTTTGGTAGAAATTCAGGATAGTTTAAGAAAGTTATTAAAATTTCAAAAACTTTAACCACAGAGTGAATATTTGTGGACGCCGCCGCCGACGGAATGTAGGATCGCTATGTCTCGCTTTTTCGACAAAAGTCGAAGGCTTAACAACAATTCTTATTTTTGGCCCCTTTTTGGCCCCCAATTCCTAAACGTTTCAGGCAATTACCCCCAAACTCAATTCCAGCTTTCCCTTTATGATATGGAACCTTGTAGTACAATTTCAGAAATATCCAAACACTAACACACAAGTTATTGTCATGAAACTAGAAAAATGCTGTTTTTTGGCCCTTTTTTGGCCCCTAATTCCTAATATTTTGAGGCAATTACCCCCAATATCAATTCCAGCCTTTCCTTTGTGATATGGAACCTTATGGTACAATGTCATAGAGTACATACACTTCCACACAAGTTATTGTCTGAAAGTTACAAAAATGCTTATTTTTGGCCCCTTTTTGGCCCCTAATTCCTAAACGTTTTGGGCAATTACCCCCAAACTTAATTCCAGCTTTCCCTTTGTGATATGGAACCTTGTAGTACAATTTCAGAAAGATCCATACACTTACACACAAGTTATTGTCATGAAACTAGAAAAATGCTTGTTTTTTGCCTCTTTTTTGGCCCCTAATTCCTAATATTTTGAGGCAATTACCCCCAAATAAATCCCAGCATTCCCTGTGTGATATGGAACCTTGTGGTACAATGTCAGAGAGATCCATACACTAACACACAAGTTATGTCTGGAAGTTACAAAAATGCTTATTTTTGGCCCCTTTTTGGCCCCTGATTCCTTAACTGTTGGTACCATAACCCCCAAAATCAATCCCAACCTTCCTTTTGTGGTATTGAACCTTATGGTAAAATTTCATAGAGATCCATTCACTTAAACTAAAGTTAGAGTGCGAAAACCAATGTGTCTTCGGACGATGCTGGACGACGACGCCAACGTCATACCAATATACGACCGCAAAATTTTTTGCGGTTGTATAAAAAGGCTTCATAAAAAGGCTTCTTTATAATTTTTGAATGAAACTATTTCATGAATGCTTATGACAATCCAAAATAAGAACTTGCAGGTGACAAATAATTTTACTTATATCAAAGCTAAATCTTCACACCTGGTGGTAAGTTAATCATATAAAACAACCAAGCATATTAATTGAAATCATTTTCTATCATCTGTGATGCTGTTCATGAATTTGCAAGTGACAAATAATGTTCTATTTATTCAAGCTGAATCTTCTAACCTGGTGATAAGTTTGTATTTAAAGGTTCTGGCATCTGTTGAACTGGTTTATCTGTCTCCATTGAAGGTTTCTCTTTTACTTGAACAACTGAAAATAGAAACAAAGTAATATATTAGCTGTATAAACAAAATAAGCCAAATCAACTTAATGTCTAGTTCTTTAGACTTCTATTATGTTTAAAGAGAGGAGTAAGTGAGTAAAATTTTATTTTTTAGAGGCAATATAATTGGTGTGGACATAAGCACTAAGCAACTATAAGTTACCATAGACTTCAACAATAAGCAAAACCCATACAAGAAAGTCAACTAAAAAAGACCCTTACATTACAAAATATGAAACAATTTGAACAAAAAAACCAACAGCCTGATTTATGACAAAACAATTAAGGAAAATCTAATATTACAGACAGCAACCAATAACAACCACTGAACTATAGGCTCCTGACTTAGGACAGGTACATTTACTTAAGTGCCAATCTGTCTAAGAATCAGGCAGTGGTGAAAACATGACAAACAAAAACCCACTCAAGTTTACATTAATTTATGTTCAAATTGTATAATGGTGCACGAATACAACATTTGTTTCCTTTGCCTGTTCTGGTAATTCAAGATATAATTTAGTTGAAATGCATTAGAAATTAAAAATTAACGGGAGCTAACTCCTTAATTTGCTATCATTCTGACCAAAAGTTATCTAGAGATTTTTCGAATTACCAGACACGCAGAAACAAAAGACCAACCAGTTCTAACTCAGGATGAGGGTAACTTCAAAATAGGATGGTTAGGTCAGTGGGTTTTTTTCTACCATGTTTTGATTTTTTTCTAAATTGCCTGATTCTTACAAAGACTGGCACTTAACACATTGGTATGAATGTGAAAGAGTACTCAAGTTACTGGAAGCTAGTTAAAAGCAAATTACAAATTATGTTGTCTTAGACAAAAGTTCTTTAAAATATTTGAATGAAAATATTTCATTAACCTTTTTTTCTTGAGAATTTTTTAAGAACCCTTCATAAATTCTAAACATTCTTGAAAATTCATAAAAAAGTTCCTGGAAATTATTGAATGTAACTTCTTCACGATGTCTATGATATTCCAAAACATGAATTTGCAAGTGAAAAATAATGTTAAATTGACTAAAACTGAATCTTCGAACCTTGTGATAAGTTCATATTTAAAGGCTCTGGCATCTGTTGACCATATTCATCTGTGTCCATTGGAATTTCTTGTTTGACTTGAACTCCTGAAAAAAGACAAAAAGTAACATATTAGTTTTTCTGCATAAAGAACATAAGTTATTTACAGTACGAGTGTTCCAAATGTTGACCTCTAGACTTCCTTTATTTGTGTGTTGTTGGATTGCTGTCTCATAAAAACTTCTTTTATTTTTACAAAACAACAAATTTTTGGTTAGAGCCGTCAGCCAATCGTTACAACATACAAGATTATTCAGATCTAGCCAATATTTTGATATGAATATCTGTTCAAAGCCAGTTACAAAATAACGTTATTCTATTTTGTCATGAAAGAAAAACTATGATGCATGCTGGTAATTTCTTTCTTTGGTAAGTAAGTTCATTTATTGTTAAGTTGACGAAATGAACAAGTTTACAGGTTGAAAGAAAATTATTGGACTTGACTTTGTGTCAATCAAATATATTAACAACCTAGGATGTCTTGTGGTTGCATGCTCACATGGAGTATGAGAGTATGTGGGTTTGCATGAGGCCAGCAATGTTGCATGTAGGATTTAAAAGCAGAATGGACAACTCAGTCATATTTATTTCTCAATGGCAAATCATTGATCTCTTTTTTAGTTCATATTTTCTCTTAACTTTTTTCACTTACATGTTCTTTGTGTCATGAAATAAAGAAGTATTTTAGTAGCAAAAGATTTCTGCTTGGATTTCAGTTCTTTATTGTTAAATCTTATTGGTTCTATGATGTTGTGTGATAATTATAGATTATTGATGGTTTTTCAAACGAGAGGGTATTTCTCAGCTACAATCTCATCGAAGGGCTGAGAAACATCCTCAAGTTTGAAAGACCATTGATAATCTGTTTATCTCTATTTTGCCTATGAGGTTATTCATGTTTGCATTAATTTGACAATCAGTGTACTCCCCAGGCCCTTAAAGGACCATGGGCCCTCGATGTATAATTTTCTACCGTGGTGGTATTGTTCTTGTCGTGATGTATAATTTTTCTCCGTGGTGCTAAAATTTTTGGTTAAAAAATCGTAAATCGGTTTTAAACGACTTGGTAAACCTTTTCCGTGGGGTATAATATTTCAGATGAAATTTGACCAGTTCAAACCAGTACAACGTAGATTTGTTTACACCACGTGATCGATTTACCTTTTGAGGTTAACCTTGTTGATTGGATTTAATTGATGTACATGATTCTTTTGTGTTTTAATTAATTAAGATCATAACTTAATGATCACAGACTTGTGAGAGACAAGCAGACAGTTGTTAATTGACACTATTACTCCAGCCTTTGGTCAAAAATAATTTTCGTATTTTAAACATGTTGGAAATTAATTTTTGAGTTACTTTCCCTGTTTTAGCTTATTACAAATGTGTGCTCCTAAAATATTATCTATCATTGAAAATAGAAATAAATTATAAATTGAATACAAAATTATATAAGAATGTTACCTTAAGGATCAAATCTTTCTTTGAACATACCAACAAAAATATATTGCAAATTATTTTTGATAATCATACTTGTATTAATGCAAAGACATATTATATTAAATAGGTAGTATTGTAAAAAAACACTGATTAGAACTTAACTCTACATGATATCTTTCAATGGGTGTGTAGATAGATTACTCTTCATGTCTGTCTATGAAGTAACACAATAACGATTCTAATAATAATTGTATTGTTGTATAAAAGAAGCAGGTCTACAGAAATGGAAAATAATTTTTAATTTAGTTCTGCATTAAAAAAATTTCTTGTTTAAAGTTAATTGTTATGGTGTAATCTAACAAAAATGGGGAATGTGTAGTGTAAGTTAACTACAAGTATCAGGACAATATTGACTTGATCAAGATATAAAAAGTGACTTTAGTTAAAGACTAGTAGTGCTTTCTTTTATCTATTCTTAAAAGATATTAAAGTATACAAACTGTTCATTCATACCTGTCAACCTATGACAATGAAAATGCATGTGATGACCTGCATAGAAGAATGAAATCTCAGGTCATAACGTGTACAAACTTTTTTAGAGCTGAATTTCAGTATTTAGGGGACATTTTTTTTATAATTTATATCAAAGTTTCCAAAACATGTCCACATGGTTAAGTAATTTAAAATTGTACATATTATTATTTCATTGCACCTGGAGGCCATTGATAGATTTGTGTTACATTGCTTTAATTCCTGTTCACATTCAGTCCATGACATACAATGTGCCAATTTGAGTTTTCTTTACATACATTTGTGCAGCTTTTAAACAGAAGAACATATTAGTTGTTGATATAAGAGTATAATAAAATAAAGTTAAACAATTAAATGAGGTATAGTTGAAAAAAGTAATTTTCAAAATTTTTATTTTTTAATTGTTCTAAGGTAGAACAATAAGTAAAAGTATTATTCTGATATGTTTGTGCATTCAATTCATTTTAGATTTAATCTTTTTACAAAAAAAAACATAAGTTTAAGGAGTATATTGTAAATTGACACAAAAGGGGAAGTAACTCAAACTGTTTTCAAAACAACTTTGAAATACACAAATTATTTACGACCTAAAGCTAAGGTAATTGGTGTTAGTTAACAGTGTGTTTGACACCAAAGCTGTCAAGTGAAGCCATGCACTGAAATGGGTCAATTGAGCTGAGTTTACACAGCTAGTTGAACTTCTTGTCCAGGAAGAATTACGAATTTGCCGGTATTTCATTGAAATCACTTTATATCTAATCAAGTCTGAAGGCTAAGGAATCCAGGTGAAAACGGGTTAGTTTTCGGAATTCTTGGGTTATTTGGTCACCTGACGGGTGTTCTGGGTGACCCCTCAGAATTGTGAAAAATCTTGGGTCACACCCGCAGGATCCGGTTCAGTTGACAGGTATGGTTTATTGATTAACTTCTCTTTTTACACATATTTTTTTGACCCAAAGTCTACATAACAGAGTACCACAGTAAACAAAACAAAAGACAAAAAGGTAATGACACAAAACTAAAAAGAAAAAAATAAGCAATGCAACGCGACATATTGTACAAATCATTTCGACACACGTTACCCTGGTGCTATCCAAAAATCCTGGGGAGAACACTGACAATGTCACGCATGCCCTTACTTTCTGAAGATAATTTTCCATCTCAAGCAAGTAACATGATATGAAAAATTATCACCAAAAAAGATCAAAGGAAAAATGCAATAAATAGCGATAACTTACCATTATCAAGCTGTTGTGTATTTTGTTCACTTTCTTCTAGAAATGTATTCTCATTGTGTCCACTATCTGCTGAAAAAGAAGGTAGATTCAAAATCAATCATACTTGGTCTTCTTCCATAGATAAGGTAATTCATATTACTTTTAAACCCTTCCTGAAGAACTGATACCAGTTTGATGGAAACTAATACTGCATAATGCCATATCTTATTGCTGCTTTAAACCTTCCCTACGCTAGTTATGTTCTAAATCACACCTGTGTGCAATTAAGTTGTGAATATAATTCAGAGATCATCAGGTATAATGTGAAATTTCTCCATACATTTTTTTATCCTTTAACTAGAGGCTCTAAAGAGCCTGTGTCGCTCACCTTGTTCTATGTGCAAATTTAACAAAGAACACTCTCCAATATTGTAGAGGAGAATAAAATTCATTACAAAAATCTGTTTTGTTGATCTTGTACTACTGATCATTTAGTCTGTTTAGTTTCTCTCTCTCATTTAAGGGCAATCACTCCTATAAAGAATGACAGTCTACGAACTATATTGGCAAAATTTTACTTATTAGTAGATCTTGTTTTGCTGATCATTTTTGTGATTTAAAGTGTCTATCTAACTATTATAATTTTTATCATATAAGGCAAAATGCAAAAAAAATTGGTAAAAATGGTCATTAATGGGCAACAACTCCAAATTGTCTTAATTGTAAATCTTGTTTTGCTGATCATTTTTTCTAATTGCAAGTTTCTATCTATCTATCATTATTTTGAAGATATAAGGCAAAAACGCAAAAAAATGGTAAAAATTGTAGTCAAAGAGCAATAACTCTAATAAGGAGTAGTCAGACGAATTCCTCCAAATTAATTTTAATTGTAGATCTTGTCTTGCTGATCATTTTTCCTTATTTAAGTTTCTATCTATCTTTCATTAATTTTAAGATATAAGGCAAAAACGCAAATAATTGGTAAAAATCATTGTCAAAGGGCAATAACTCTAATAAGGAGTCGAATAACGATTCCGATGATGCAGACTTATTTGTAGAACTTATCTTGCTGATCATTTTTGCAATTTAAAGTTTTTTTCTATCTATCATAATTTTCCAAGATAATATGCAATAAAATGCTTCGCTGGGCGCAGCTTGATACGACCGCAGAGGTCGAACCCTGAACAGTTGGGGCAAGTATGGACACAACATTCAAGCTTGATACAGCTCTGAATTTGGATTGTGATTAAATATTTGACACAGCATAGGTTTCTGACACAGAAAGAATGTGGTCTAAGAACTTCAATTTTTTTAATTTACCTATTATAGTCCAATGTCCAAAATCATAATACATGGTTAGATTCAGCATATCAAAGAACCCCATATATTCAATTTTTGTTGAAATCAAACAAAGTTTAATTTTGGACCCCAACTTGGACAAACGTGAAAACTGGTTCCATAATCAAAAATCTAAACACATGTTTAGATTCAGCATATCAAAGTATCTCAAGAATTCAATTTTTGTTAAAATCAAACTAAGTTGAATTTTGTACCCTTTGGACCTTAATGTAGACCAATTTAAAAAACGTGACCCAAAATTAAAAATCTAAAAACACGGTTAGATTTGGCATATAAAAAAACCCCAATAATTCAATTTTTGATGAAATCAAACAATGTTTAATTTTGGACCCTTTTGACCTCAATATGAACCAATTTGATAGCGGGCCCACAAATAAAAAATCTAAATACATGGTAAGATTCAGCATATCAAAGAACCCCATATATTCAATTTTTGTTGAAATCAAACAAAATTTAATTTTGGACCCCAATTTGGACCAACTTGAAAACTGGGCCAAAGATCTAAAATCTAAATACATGTTTAGATTCAGCATATCAAAGAACCCCATGTATTCAATTTTTGTTGAAATCAAACAAAGTTTAATTTTGGACCCCAACTTGGACAAACTTGAAAACTGGGCCCATAATCAATAAAATGCTTCGCTGGGGCGCAGCTTGATACGACCGCAGAGGTCGAACCCTGAACAGTTGGGGCAAGTATGGACACAACATTCAAGCTTGATACAGCTCTGAATTTGGATTGTTATTAAATATTTGACACAGCATAGGTTTCTGACACAGAAAGAATGTGGGCTAAGAACTTGAATTTTTGTAATTTACCTTTTATGGTCCAATGTCCAAAATCAAAATACATGGTTAGATTCAGCATATCAAAGAACCCCATATATTCAATTTTTGTTAAAATAAAAAAAAGTTTAATTTTGGACCCCAACTTGGACAAACTTGAAAACTGGGCCCATAATCAAAAATCTAAACACATGTTTAGATTCAGCATATCAAAGAACCCCAAGAAATCAATTTTTGCTTAAATCAAACTAAGTTTAATTTTGGACCCTTTGGACCTTAATGTAGACCAATTTAAAAAACGGGACTTAAAATTAAAAATCTAAATACACGGTTAGATTTGGAATATCAAAGAACCCCAATAATTCAATTTTTGATGAAATCAAACAAAGTTTAATTTGGACCCTTTTGACCTCAATATGAACCAATTTGATAGCGGGGCCTACAAATAAAAAATCTAAATACATGGTTAGATTCAGCATATCAAAGAACCTCATATATTCAATTTTTGTTGAAATCAAAAAAAGTTTGATTTTGGACCCCAATTTGGACCAACTTGAAAACTGGGCCCATAATCAAAAATCTAAATAAATGTTTAGATTCAGCATATCAAAGAACCCCATATATTCAATTTTTGTTGAAATCAAACAAAGTTTAAATACCGGACCCTATCTTGGACCAACTTGAAAACTGGGCCCATAATCAAAAATCTAAACACATGTTTAGATTCAGCATATCAAAGAACTCCAAGAATTCAGTTTTTGTTAAAATCAAACTAAGTTTAATTTTGGACCCTTTGGATATGAATGTAGACCAATTTAAAAAACAGGAACCAAAATTAAAAATCTAAATACACGGTTAGATTTGGAATATCAAAGAGCCCCAATAATTCAATTTTAGATGAAATCAAACAAAGTTTAATTTTGGACCCTTTTGACCTCAATATGAACCAATTTGATAACGGGGTCCACAAATAAAAAATCTAAATACATGGTTAGATTCAGCATATCAAAGAACCCCATATATTCAATTTTTGTTGAAATCAAACAAAGTTTAATTTTGGACCCCAATTTGGACCAACTTGAAAACTGGGCCAAAAATCAAAAATCTAAATACATGTTTAGATTCAGCATATCAAAGAACCTCATATATTCAATTTTTGCTAAAATCAAACAAAGCTTAATTTTGGACCCTTTGGACCTTAATGTAGACTATTTTGAAAACTGGACCCAAAATTAAAAATCTAAATACACTGTTAGATTCGGCATAACAAATAAATAAATGTGATCAAAGATTTTACAAATCTAATGCGCCATACTGTGCAATTAAAGATTACTTCTTGAAATTTTTCAATATTTGAAATTTGAAAAAAAAATAATATTTGAAGAATAATTCTTTTTAATTTCTGAAATCTGAAATGAGAAAAAATTGACCCCCCACAATTTCTTTTTATCCCCCCCCCCTTTTTTCCCCAAAAAAATTCTTTCCCTCAAGATATGGTCATAATCTCAATTCAAATTTCCAATGGAGTTGGCAACCATAATTACCCATTTAATTTTACCATAGTGTTAACTTAATCTATTTTATAATAGAATTAAAAATATAGTGTCAAATCTTTCATATGGATTTTATTGTAAAATAAAATGATGCAACATTTGCAGATATTTTTACTGGTCTTCCTTTATAAATATGCATTTCTTTAAACATAATTTAAAAGCAGTGTAAGGGAAGTAACCAAAACGTTGTATTTGGATTACCTCCCTTACACTGTTTTAAATTATCTTTATTGTTCATTAACCATTACTTTATACATAATTTAAAAGCAGTGTAAGGGAGATAATTTCAATGATGTATTTGATTTATCTCCCTTACACTGCTTTAAATTATGTTTTGTACTAAAGTATTTGTCCATTAACCAGGACAACCTTGTTTTCCCCCCTTTTTTGCCCCTAATTCCTAAACGGTTTGAGCCATAACCCCCCAAAGCAAATCCTAACCATCCCTTTGTGGTATGGAAACTTGTAGTATAATTTCAGAGAGATCCATACACTGTTCCACAGTTATTATCTGGAAACTAGAAAATGCTTATTTTTGGCCCCTTTTTGGCCCCTAATCCCTTAACTGTTGGTACCATAACCCCCAAAATCAATCCCAACCTTTCTTTTGTGGTATTTAACCTTATGGTAAAATTTCAAAAAGATCCATTCACTTAAACTAAAGTTAGAGTGCGAAAACCAATGTGTATTCGGACGACGACGACGACGACGCCAACGTCATACCAATATACGACCACAAAAATTTTTTTGCGGTCGTATAAAAATCTAAACACATGTTTAGATTCAGCATATCAAAGAACTCCAAGAATTCAGTTTTTGTTAAAATCAAACTAAGTTTAATTTTGGACCCTTTGGACCTGAATGTAGACCAATTTAAATAAAATGCTCCGCAGGGCGCAGCTTGATACGACCGCAGAGGTCGAACCCTGAACAGTTGGGGCAAGTATGGACACAACATTCAAGCTTGATACAGCTCTGAATTTGGATTGTGATTAAATATTTGACACAGCATAGGTTTCTGACACAGAATGAATGTGGTCTAAGAACTTAAAAATTTTAAATTGGACATTCACCTATTATGGTCCAATATCCAAAATCTAAATACATGGTTAGATTCAGCATATCAAAGAACCCGAAGAATTCAATTTTTGATGAAATCAAACAAAGTTTAATTTTGGACCCTTTTGATCTCAATGTGGACAAAGTTGATAACGGGGCCCAAAAATCAAAAATCTAAATACATGGTTAGATTCAGCATATCAAAGAACCCCATATATTCAATTTTTATTGAAATCAAACAAAGTTTAATTTTGGACCCCGATTTGGACCAACTTGAAAACTGGGCCCATAGTCAAAAATCTAAATACATGTTTAGATTCAGCATATCAAAGA